AAAATAACCTAGAAATTATGAAAAAATACCTTGAATACACTCTCTTCAAATAGGTAGAAAGTGTATGACAGTGTGGTGCTCCCTGGGGGTACCCAGGGTTGTGAGGCACTTCACCACCAACTAATCTTAGCATGAAGTAGTCTTGTCTGTGCTTGATGTGGATCAACTCCCTGAAACCACTAGTCTCTGGGAGCACAAGTGCTACTTTCCAGGCCTCGCTCCACCTGTAACGCTAGGGATAGATATAAACCAATCCCCTGAGCCTTCCAGCCATTTCCTATAGTGTCTAGCCCTGTATCCACTGAACACTCACAGCATTACCAGGCTTGCTCTTCCCAAAGGAACAGTACACACCAGCTTGTAAGATTCAGTGGAGGATCTGCACTTTGCTTAATACTGCAGCATTTAGATATATTTACAGTGAAAACAAGAATAGAGATTTAAGTGATAGTGGGTAAGAGTACTCAAAACAAATGGTTACATATATAACAGAATCATAAGATGCTTTCTACAGACTCGACTCAACTAACAGGTTAACCTTCTGTCTAAAGAAACTTATCTTAGCCAAAGTCCTCTGGCCTGGCTGAGACCCCATTTTCATGCAGTAAACTAGCTGTCCATTTACTTTTTCGGTGAAACGTGATAGGATGTCATCATTGTCTCCCAAAAATAGTAGAGCAAACCTTTTGAAGAGCACCAAAAGATAGGATTCCCCCCACGCTCACACTGGTTTCTTTTCTTCCTGTTAGTTTTTGTTTGAAGTACACAAAATATTTCATGTGTATTCGGTTTAGACTGGTGAGTGGTGACCCACTGTGAACTATATAATACTTAATTTACATCTAAACAGCCAGATAGATAAACATTTCTTGCCTGACAGAACCTGTTTTTCACCTTTGCTGGTGACCCAGTCCCTAAACACAGACTTTACCAACATATTTTCAGTATATTTGCATAACTCCTTACATACTATCTGTACATACGTTTCGTGATATTGATGATCAGAGTGACACAGGCTTTTATTGAAGACCTCACATGATACTCTTTGAGTTTGAATATAAATGCTAGACTCAAGAGATTTCTGTAACCCCTATGCACCTCCTTGTCTCGGCATTAGGAGGTTCTTGAGGGTCACATACATATTCTGTGGAGTACATGGAGTAATATGCTGTTGCAGCTGTGTAAATTCAAGGATTCTTTTTTGTAAAGATTGAGATGCTATGAAAAGTGTGCAGGGATTTATGGCAACTAATATCAGTCACTTTGAGTGGCTAGCTAGAAATGTAATTGTACTGTAAGTATGTTAAGTATTTAAGGTCTAACCCTATACACCCTTGCTCAGTGTGAGTTGGAAATATTTTTTCTGAGTTGTGATTTTGATACTTATATTAAGGTGAATATTTTCCTTGGGTTTTGTGATAAATGGAAGGGGTGGGGGGTAGTTCCCTTTTATGGACATCCATCCAGCCAGTTAGCTATAAAATCCCTCTTAGTAGCTGTTCTCTACTTTCTTTACCTGTAGAGGGTTAAAAAGTCTCCCTGCTCTGCACAGGTAAAAGGAAGGGAGTGGGCACCTGACCAAAAGCCAATGGGAAGGCTAGAACTTTTTAAAATTGAGAAAAAACTTCCCCTTTGTCTGTCTGTTCTCGGGGAGAAGCAGACAGGAAGCAACTATGCTGTAAGAAGCTTGGGGCTAGGTATGAAAAATCATCAGTATCATACCTAGAAAGTACTCATTTGAAATCTCAGATATGTAAGTAGATCAGGAAATGTCTAGGAAGACACTGTTAGGTTTATCTCTTTTTATTTCTTTATGGCTTGTGGATTCCTCTGTGCTAACCCCAGGTGCTTTCGTTTTGCTGGTAACCTTTAAGCTGGACCTCAAGAAAACTATTTTTGATGCTTAATCCTTATAAGTGGCTTTTTAAATCTAGCAGCAGCCTGAGTTTCCAGATGTATTTTCTTTCTTTTTGTTTTTAATAAAATGAACCTTTTTTAAGAACTGTCCTAAGAGGTTTGTGCACATGTTGTTTAATTAGCTGGTGGCAACAGCTGAATTCCTTTGTTTTTCTTTCTCAGGCCTTCCATGGAGGGGTGGGGGTGAAAGGGCTCGAGGGTACCCCACAGGAAGGAATTCCCAAGTGTGCTTTCCTGGGTTCTCAAAGGGGTTTTGCATTTAGGTGGTAGCAGCATCTTCCCATCCAAGGTCATACAAAAGTTGTAACCTTGGGAGTTTAATACAAGCCTGGAGTGGCCAGTATTAATTTTTAGCATCCTTGCAGGCCCCCACCTTCTGCACTCAAAGTGCCAGAGTGGGGAATCAGCCTTGACAGATGTCTAGAATGCGATCTAAAATTACATCTGTTTGTAAGAAATTAAAGCTAAGTATTAGTAACAGATAATAGGTTACTACATGTAACCCATGGTAATGGCATATAAAGACTTTATCAGCAGGAGTTTGGGAGTACTACATATTACTTTAAGTGAAGTCATAAGTGCATCACAAAGATCAGCCCGAAGAAGCACTGCTAAAAACTTTTATGCCACTTCCTCATTATTTGTGTATATGCAAAAGCTAAGCATTTGAGAGAGTTTGAAAAACATTATGGAAACTGTTTTTGTATTCTTCCATCTGTAAAGTCAGGTGCCTTCGTTGTCTTGAAGCTCAGTGGGCAGAGTTTAGAGGAGCTACAAAAATCTAAAAATGACAAAGTAGCATTTCTGGACCTAAACATGTCACTATTTAAAGCCTGTTGTCTCAGGACCTTTTGTGGCTAGAAGCTAGTGCTGAGTCCCATTGGGGAAACAAATTTTCCTTACTGCATAGAATAAACTCAAATTTTTCTTGCAGTATAGGATTTCAAGATAATGGACTTCAAAATCATGACTTTAATATATAGAAAAAGCTGTAGCTTGCACAGGAAAGAATGGTCCATCCTGAGATTTGAGCAGATGTAAATTTTGGGGAAGAAATTCCATAGCTTGAGCGTGGAAACGGATCCACTATTATTTTTTTAAATAGACGGTGGTATTTGGAATGTTAAATTAATTCCTTGGAGAAGAATTAGTGGGAAGTAAGCATGTGTCATAGCCAGACATGTATTAATTGTCCTGCAGTTAAGACTCTGGACTGGGTCTCAGGCCAATTGGAGTTCAGTTTTAGCTCAGAAAGGTGCTGTGAAGATAACTTAATAAATGTTTGAGGCACTGAAATACTGCCGTAATGGGGTTTGCAAAGGTACCTAGAGATTGATATCTGTCACCTCTATACATACCTAGTTACGACAGATCTGTGTGCTTTTAAACTTGCTAACTTTGCAAGCGCTTTCCGTTTAGAAAAGATCGGAGCAAGAAAAACAAATACTTAAGCATTTTTGTTAGTAAATAGCGTGTGATTTTTCTCAGTGTTAATTCTTCTGTCTCAGGATGGATAGCATGACAGGAGAGTTTGCTGGGACTGAACAAGTAAGTAGGCTTAGTTTGGAATCTGCTCATTTGTATAAATTGGGTTATTATGCTCATTATTTAATGTCTTGGGGAGTCATTTGTCCACAAGTTTCAGATCTGTACCTCCTCCTTTCCCTGGTGCACCAGAAATGTGTTATGTATAGAGGATTTGAACACTTGGAAAATTGCTTACAAGTTACCATTTTCTTTAATCAGTTCATCAGTAGCTTTTACTTCCTTTCCTGCCTTCGCTTCAGTATGTTGCCGACTGGTTTACCTGTGATATAGCTACTTCCATTTTATCTTCTGTTCCTAGCTGATTAATAGATATCTAGTCCAGTTTAGATTCATATTTAATAAAATGAGTGGAGAAAAATACAGTAAAAAGACTGTTTTTGTGTGTGTAGGTGACTGACTTTTTGCTCCTTGTACTTGGCCTAGATTTGGAAAAGTCCCAGCATCTTCTTTTCTTTGGCTGTTTAATAATAGTAGGTGTTTTAAAGAGATGGGGAAACATTTCATATAAATTCCTCTACAATAGCATTAGATAAATCCAAAAAGTTTTATTAATGTGGAGTTGCTGTTTCAGGATATCTCACAGGACCCATGTGGTCCCAATCACCCATCTCCTTAATTTTGTCTTCAGTATAATTTATTTCACATTTCTAAAGCTCTGTAACAAAAGGAAGAAAGCTGAGCATATAGGAGGCTCTGGGATGAGTGTGTGCTTATACTTTGTACTACTTGTGTCCTGTTTGAAAAAATTTTAATTCACAAATCTATATAAACAGCATCATGAGCTGTGACAACAGAGCAGAATGGTAAGTGCCTTCTGTACACTGAGAATAGAATTCTCTTAATTAGGCAAATGCTTTTATAACGTCTTGCTGGCTTCTTTGTTAATCTGTTTTAGCTAATTCCTTAGTTCATAGAATCATAGAGTATCAGGGTTGGAAGAGACCTCAGGAGGTCGTCTAGTCCAATCCCCTGCTCAAAGTTACCCCCTCCAGTTACCCTGGCCAGTTCAAATAAGGTCTTACCCAGGTTGGATTTAGCAAGATTTAGGTCCAAACTTATCAGTAGTCACAACCTCTTCTTCCAGCCTTCTACTGAGGAATCGTTCACCATTATGGAAATGCTTTTTACTAAGTTGTTGCAACGTTCTCAGTAAAGTCTGTCATAACTCTGGGTCATATGACCTGTAGCACAGAAGCCTAAGTGGTTAGGGTGCCAAATCGCCCACTCAGTGTGGGAGTATCCATGTGTTTTAGATTGGTTCCATACTTGAGTGGGTGAGGCAAAGAATGTCTGCACAGAGTCATCAGCAGAGGCCAGGAAGCTGCAAAGGGGGTTGGGTTGCAGGTCAAGGAAGTGACAAGCAGGCGCCAGACCAGGGCAGATCGGCCGATCCTAGGGAGGGAAAGCCTAGAAAATGTAAGCTAGTTTTTCCGTACTCCTGTAGGAGTGACGCTTTTGATATAAACATTCTCAGAAGAAAGTGTGTGTGCATTAATGTGCAGTTGTGCATATTTCTCTCATTTTCCTCTGCACAGGAAAATCATATTGCTTTTCTGAAGTGGCTTGGAAAAAAAGTAGATGTTGAAGGATTAATAAAATCCAGCAAAATGACCCTTAAGTTTGTCTCCTCTTACAAGCCGGAAATTGAGATAATGCCATCTCTCATACCAGTCGTCACTGTGGGAGGCTTCTCATCTGAACACTTCAGCCTGCAGACATATCAACAGAATCTGCAAACAAAGAAGCTTGGCAAGATTGTTCTGTTTGCTGAAGTCACATCAACAACAATGAATCTTCTTGATGGGTAAGGTGCTGGTGTAGACCATCTCAGATAAACATTTTGAATTGTGATTCACATATAATGAAATACACTAACCATACAATGTACAGAATGAAGTTGAAAACTTTTCTCTTTGACTTAGCTTTTGCTCAATAACCTCTATATACTGTGACAGGGTCAGGCCAGATGGCTACAGGAGAGTGATAGAAGACAGATATATTAGCCCCAGGTTAAGTAGGTCACTTTTCACTGGGTAAGGTAACAGGGAAGGTTCCAGAACAATCAGGAACTTTCTGGAAACAATTAAGGCAGACAGGCTGATTAGAACACCTGCAGCCACTCAAGAAGCTTCCAGAATTAATTAAGACAGTCAGGCTAATCAGGGCACTTGGGTTTAAAAAGGAGCTCACTTGAGTTTGTGGCGTGCGTGCGAGGAGCTGGGAGCAAGAAGCGCAAGAGGCTGAGAGTGAGAAGGTATACTACTGAAGACTGAGAAGTACAAGCATTATCAGACATCAGGAGAAGGTCCTGTGGTGAGAATAAAAAAGGTGTTGGGAGGAGGCCATGGGGAAGTAGTCCAGGGAGTTGTAGCTGTCACGCAGCTGTTACAGGAGCCACTGTGGACAGCTGCAACCCATAGAGCCCTAGGCTCGAACCCGGAGTAGAGTGCGGTCCCGGGTTGCCCCCAACTCCCTACTTGATTCCGGAGGAGTTGAACTGGACTGTGGGTTTCACCAGAAGGGAAGGTCTCTGGCCTGTTTCTCCGATCCACTAGGTGGATCAGCAGAGACTGCGTGGATTGTTCTTCTTCTTTCCCCATGCTGGCCAGTGATGAGGCTAACTGAGTGAACGGCGATTTGAGCCACGAAAATGGCCAAACTGAGGGCTGCCATGAACCTCTGAGGTAAGCAAATCTGCCAATAAGCGCAGGACCCACCAAGGCAGAGGAGGAACTTAGTCACAATACACATGAGCTATTTCTCCTACTGACTGAGAAGTAAAAAGGAAAGAGACTGATTGTTTATTTGTAAATACTTAAGAAACGCTCGATTCTGTGGTAATGGAAGCCTTACAAGTATTTAGATGTCTTTGAGAAGGAAAACTTATTGTACCAATTACTTTGTTGATAATAGGACTTCACTATTGTTTCTCCTGTAGCAAACCGTTAATTGTAATGTTTTGTGAAGGCATAAGCAGATATAGAAGACCCTCGGGATTTTTCTAAACCTAGTTGATAAAATGAAAAACAAGTTTTCTTATTTAAAAAGTAATTTATTTCTTTGTAATATTATATAATTTTTTACGTTCTATTAATACCCTTTTAAGTTATATGAATATTTCACTGTCAAATTTCTTTTTCCCCCCAAACATTCATTAGAGTTTAAAAATACTTTTAAGCAACACATACATGACTTTGGTAACACCTATGCAGGATGTCAGTTGAGGAAAATAGTTCATTGAGATTTAAAACAGGATTAGAAAAGTACATGAATAACACTAGACCCAATAGTTACTCTAGCTAGGCTACCATTTACAAGGACTATAATTGTAATATTTCAGAGCACAAACTAATCAGATGGTTGAAGAAATACCTCCTCCCCACCCCCTCCATGTGGTGATGTGGCACAGTTGGCCAGATATGCAATCAGTTAAGTCATCTTAGCTGTGGTCACAGTTCATTAATTAATCAGCAAGAAGAGCTGTTTTTCTTCCGGCTATAGAGCCCAAACTGTAGGTCTTATATAAACTGAATTGAGAGTATATTTTCTTGGTAAGGAATAGGTGGATTTGGTTTAAAAAAAACCCACCATATTTTAACAAGAATGAGTCTGTATTAGAATAATTTTATAGTAGTTCAAATTTTATGCTTAAATAGCTAGTTGACAAGTGTTCATTAAATACTAGCAGTCTTTTCTGTGGAATCTAATAGTAATAGATCAAGGGATATTTTTAACCCATGAATTTAATACATTTTTCCTGAAATATACTTTAATCTGATTCATAAATAGGATTTACAAAGTTTCTTAATTTATCCAGAAATCCACAATAAGCTAGAAAAACTCAGAAGCAAGTTTTGAAAATTTGAAAGCTTTAACACTGTTCAGCTAAATTATTTTAATTAAACTATTGATTGTATTAAGTAATTTAATTTAATGAAACAATTCCTTATTAAGATGGAGACAAAACCTGTTAATTTTTCTCACTAAATGTGAAAGATATTGCTATTGAATGTTTTCCTTTTTTGTTTTTGGCATGCTAATTAAAAGTTAGCCTAAATCTTGGGAGAAAGAATAACTTTATTTTGGCCCCAGTCGTGCAACTGGATCTGTTTGTGGAAGCCCATGCACCTGTGTGCATCCCCATGGACTTCATTGGCAATCCACAGAGACACAGGGGTCCATTCTTCTGGATCTTATGCAGGATTTGGTTTTCAATTTTTAGTGTGGGATAGTACCTTTTGTTGTATAACTTTAAAAAACTCACTCCAGGTGAAATAGCAACTCCGACCTGTTAAGATGAAATCAGAATCATCATTGTGTCTGAAGAAACTGAAGACATGATACTTCAGTTAACAATTAGGGATTACATCATGGTAGGGGTCTACGGTAGACCACCAAATCAGGAAGAGAAGGTGGATGAGTCATTTCTAGAGCAAATAACAGAAATAGTCAAAACACAAGTCATGGTACTAATGCAGGACTTGAAATACCCAGATACCTGCAAGATCAGAAAACACAAAATTTCCAGTAAATTCTTGGTCTGTGTTGGGCAAAATGGTTTGTTTCAGAAAGTGTAGGAAATAACCTGGCGGACAGCCATTGTAAACTTGATTCTGACCAACAGGGAGAATTGGTTGTGAATCTGAAGGTAGAGGGCAAGTTGTGTGAAAGTGATCATGAAGTGATAGATTTAATTATTGTAAAGAAAGGAAGGAGTGAAAGCAGCAGAATAAGGACAATGGATTTCAAAAAAGCAGGCTTTAACAAATTCAGAGAATTGGTGGGTAAGGTGTAATGGGAAGATGATGTAAGGGATAAAGGTATACAGGAGAGCTGGCGGTTTCTCATGGAGAAAGTATTGAAGGTGCAGCTGCAAGCTATCCTGATGTGAAGGAAATATAGGAAGAATAGAAAGAGGCCCTTGTGGCTTCATCAGGAGCTCTTTAATGACCTGAAAATGAAAATGGATTAAGGTACAAAATGAGTTACTGCCTTTTATACATCTTGGTAGGTGAAAGAAAGAGGTTCTTTAAATACATTAGGAGCAAGAGAAAGACAAAGGAATGTGTTGGTACTCTACTTAAGGAGAGGGAAAGAGAGCTAATAACTGGTGACCTCGAGAAGGCTGAGGTGTTTAATGCCTATTTTGCTTCAGTCTTCACTAAAAAGGTTAGTCGTGACCACATACTCAACACAATGAATATTAACAACATTGGGAGGGGGAGAGGAATGGAAGCCAAAATGGGGAAAGAACAGATTAAAAAATATTTAAATAAGTTAGATTTATTCAAGTTGGCAGGGCCTGAAGGAATTCATCCTAGGGTACTGAAGGAACTAGCTGAAGCAATCTCTGAACTGTTATGAATTATCTTTGAGAACTCATGGAGGACAGGTGAGGCCCTTCTCATGGAGAAGGGCAAACATAGTACCTGTCTTTAAACATTGGAACAAAGAGGACCCAGGGAATTACAGCCTAACTTTGATACATAGAAAGGTACTGGAACAAATTATTATACAGTCAGTTTTTAAGGGCATAATAGGGTTATAAGAATATCCAAAATGAATTTGTAAAGAACAAATCTTACCAAACCAATCTAATTTCATTCTTTTACAAGATTACTGGCCTACTGGATAGGGGAGAAGTAATAGACCTGATATGTCTTGATATTAGAAAGGCTTTTGACACAGTCTCACATAACATTCTCATACGTAAACTAGGGAAATGCAGTCTAGATGAAATTACTGTAATTTGGGTGTACAACTTGTCAGAAGACCATACTGAAAGAGTTGTAATCAATGGTTGGATTTCAAACTGGGAGGGCATGTCTAGTGGGGTCCCACCTCAGTCAGTCCTGGGTCTAGTACTTTTCAGTATTTTCATTAATGACTTAATGAAGTGGAGAGGTTGCTTCTATAATTTGCAGATGACAGCAAGCTGGGAAGGGTTGAAGTACTTTGAAGGACAGGATTCAAAATGACTGTGACAAATTAGAAAATTAGTCTGAATTCAGAAAGATGAAATTCAATAAAGACAAATTCAAAGTACCTTGCCTAGGAAGGAAAAATCAAATGCACAACTACAAAATAGGGAATAACTGGTGGTAGTACTGCTGCTGAAAAGGATCTGAGGGATTAAAATGGGTCACAAATTGGATATGAGTCACATTGTTATATGATGCAGTGGTAGAAAAAGGCTAATATAATTCTGGGGTGTATTAAAAGGACTGTGTGTAAGACACAGGAAGTAATTGTCCTACTTTACTTGGCACTAGTGAGGCATCAGCTGGAGTACTGTATCCAATTCTGGGTGCCACACTTTAGGAAAGATGTGGACAAATTGGAAAGAGTCCAGAGGAAAGAAGCAAAAGTGATAAAAGGTTTAGCAAACCTGCCCTATGACAAGAGGCTAAAAAAAAACTGGGCATGTTTAGTCTTGGGAAAAGAAGACTGAGGGGCGACCTGATAAGTCATCCAATATGGTAAGTGCTATTATAATGAGAACAGAGATGGGCTTAATCTGCACCAAGGGACATTTAGGTTAGATATTTGGAAAAACTTTCTAACTGTAAGGGTAGTTAAGCTCTGGAATAGGCTTCCAAGGGAAGTTTTTAAGAACATCTGTCAGGTATGGTGTAGGTAGTCCTGCCTCAGTGCAGGGGTCTGGACATGATGACTTTTCGAGGTCCCTTCCAGTCCTATATTTCTGTGATTCTATACATATGCACTGACATCTGTTTCAGATGATGCAGTGACAATAGGAGTATCTTCACTTTTGAATGTTAGGTGTTGTATTGCTCAAACTAC